ATACCCCACACATGGTCAGTGAATTTATGAAAAAAAGGCCAAGACCATACAATGAAAAAAAGAATGCCTCTTTATATGACTTTAATTTGATCTCCTTGATGATTAATGAAATTCAACATCTTTTCATATGTTTACTGATTATTTAGATCTAACTTTAAATGCCCGCCTAAAATTTTTACCCACTTTTCTGAGTGGGTAAAAACTCTCTTTCTATCTGTATATATTCTCTATACTGAGGTAACTTTGCTTTACCACACTGTATATGATTTGCAGGAATAGGTTCACCCCACCTCAGATGTATGTTGCCCCAACACCACCATCATCCAAACACCCATAGTCCTTTACTCTAGGCCATTGGGCCCCCTCCCTCTTCTAGCCTCCATTCTGCTGTCATAGTTCTTGGGTTTGTTTTAGTTTAGTTTCGTTGGTTCCTTTTTTCACCCCCTATACACTCATTATATGAGTGAAATCATTTGTTATTTGTCTTTCTACTTCTGACTTATTTCACTTAGCATAATGCCTCCAGTTCCAACCATGTTGTCACAAATGGCACAGTCTTTTTAATGGCTGAGTAGTATTCCATTGTGTATGTATACCACACTTTCGTAACACACAGCTCTGTTGATGGGCATTTACAGTTTCCTTAACTTGACTATTATAAATAACTTGACTACTATAACTGCAAAGAACATAGGAGTGCATATGCCTCTACAAATGAATGATTTTGTATTCTTTGGGTAGATAACTCAGAGAAGAATTGCTGGATCATATGTTTGATCTATTTTTAATATTTTGAGTTTGTTTTCCATAGGGGCCAGACCAATCTACATTCCCACCAATAGTAGTATATGAGGGTTCCTTTTTTCCCACACCCCAAATGATACTTCTCTTGATAAATGTCTCACTTAATACAAACTGTGATTTTGAGATCTCATGAAAGCAACTCACCTGTGATCTTTGCTTCAAAAGTCTCCATGCATAACAGACTTCAGAGCTGAAAAGCTTTATGCCGCCTCCTGTCTGCACACATGTGAAGGGGTTAATAATGGCTATCAATTGTTTAAAAACATGAAAGTTCTAACTTTTTTGAAAAGTATAGAGAAAAAACCCACTAAACACATTTTATTAAGGCAATTATTAAACCACCCTGTGTTACATTCCTTGACATCAACACTCTAAAACAAGTTGGAAATGGTGGCTCAAAGTCCACCACTGAAAATTTTTTGTTTGAATTTTCTATATGTATCAAAAAATTCACCACTAAGTATACAATTTAGTAGCATTTGTAAACTGAAACTCTATACCTAGTTAATAAATTATATTGACCCTCCTCCCAGCCCTGTAATCGCTGTTTTCTTTCTCTATGAATGTTGTTTTAAGATCATCATATAAGAGGAACCATGCAATATTTGTCCTTTTGTGTTAATTTCACTCAGCATGATGTTCTCAAGGTCCAAGATGTTCTCAATATCAGAATTTTATTTTTTTAATATATATTTATTTAATATATATTTATTTATGCATACAAGAATCGGGATACAGGCCAGAGGTGTGGGGGGTGAGAGGATCACCAGAGACAGAGTGGGGAACAGAACAGGCAGACTGACTGAAATACACTGCTGAGGGGAGCAGCAGGTGAGACAGGAGAGGTCTGCTGAGTCATGTGGGTAGCTCCCCATCCAGGGATCGAACTCGTGCTTCAGTGGCTGAATATAGTAGCTTCATAGGCTGCGTCTTAACCCCTTGTGCCACCAGGGAGGCCCCAGAATTTTTTTTAAAGATTTATGCACAAAAGAGTTGGGGTGTAGGCCAGAGGTGTGGGGAAGGCGAGAGAATTCACCAGCCATAGAGTGGGGAGCAGAACAGATGGATTGACTGAAATACACTGCTAAGGGGAGCAGCAGATGAGACAGGAGAGGTCTGCTGCACCATATGTGGGTAGCTCCCTGGCTGGAGATCAAACTTGTGCTGCAGTGGTTTCTGATAGCTTCAGTTTGCTGAGACTTAACCTCTTGCACCACCAGGAAGGCCTAGAATTTTATTCTTTTTGAGAATGAATAGTATTCCATTTGAGGACTAGTATTCCAAGTTTGAGGACTAGTGCCCTGAGTAGTTGACTAGTAAATACTATTTTTTAAGCCATTTTTTTTTTTAAAGACTTATTTATTTGTGCATACAAGCACTGGGGTGTAAGCCAGAGGTGCGGGAGGTGAGAGGATTCACCAGAGACAGAGTGGGGAGCAGATCAGGCAGCTGTACTGAAATACACTGCTGAGGGTAGCAGTGGGCAAGTCAGGAGAGGTCTGCTGTGCCATATGGGTTGCTCCCTGGCTGGTGAGGGATCGAACTCCTGCAGTGGCTGGCAGCAGCTTGATAGAGCTGTCTTTAACCCCCGCGACACCAGGGAGGCCCTGTAAGTACTATTTTTAAAACTCTTTTCCCTATAATCTCTATATCACAGGTTTTTCTAGCCAAAGTACTCAGCCTTTATAATTTCCATTTGGGGAGGTAAATTTCAGTACTTTTTTTTTTTTTTAAGTTTATTTATTTATACATACATACATACATACATACAAGCACTGGGTACAGTCAGAAGCGCGGGACGTGAGAGAATTCACCAGAGCCAGAGTGGAGAGGAGAGCAGAGCAGGCAGACTGACCAAGTACACTGCTGAGGGGATCTGCGGGCGGCAGGAGAGGTCTGCGCGCCATGTGGGACCCTTGCCTGGTGGCCAGGGATCGAACCGGCGTTGAAGCGGCTGCAGCCAGCTTCACAACCCAGCGCTCAACTGCTGCGCCACTGGGGAGGCCCGTAAATCTCAGTTCTACCTACCATTATTAACAAAATATTTGTCCTATCAGAGACAAGATGAATATATTCAAAAATGTGCAATTAGTTCTTATAATGAAACTCTAGACTCATTTTCTTCAATTTCAGGTCTAAAAATTAACTCCCACTGATACAATTATTTGATATTGCTTAGAAATTCCGTGCTAGGGCCTCCCTGATGGTGCAAGGGGTTAAGATGCAACCTATGAAGCAATCCACAAGCACTGCAGCACAAGTTCGATCCCCAGCCAGGGAGCTACCCAAATGGCGCAGCAGACCTCTTCTAACTCACTGGCTGCTCCCCTCAGCAGTGTATTTCAATCTGCCTGTTTTGTTCCCCACTCTGTCTCTGGTGAATCCTTTCACTTCCCTACACTTCTGGCCTCTACCCTAGTTTTTGTATGCATAAATAAATAAATCTTGAAAGAAAAAAAAGAAATTCCATGCTAATTATACGTGAAAAGAGAAAAAACTCCATTTTTGTTGGAAATGCAATTGATATTCCTAAAAAATCCGAAGGAGTCAGCTTTTAAAAAATCCTGGCAGTATAAAAATGAAGTTAATAGAATCCTTATATAACCAGTCATAGCCAGCTGAAAAATAAGACATTCAATTTAAAACAATCAATACAGGGCCTCCCTGGTGTTGCAGGGGTTAGTCTCAGCACTATCAAGCTGTTCCCAGCCACTGCAGCTTGAGTTCTATCCCTGGCCAGAGAGCTGACCCACATATGGTGCACAGACCTCTCCTGTCTTGCCCACTGCTCCCCTCAGCAGTTTATTTCAGTAGATCTGCCTGTTCTGTTCCCCATTATCTGCGTGAATCCTCTCACCCCCACCTCAACCCCAGTTCTTCTATGCAGAAATAAACCTTTAAAAAGAAAAGAGTGATTCCATGCACTTTCACTTAGATTCTCCCAGAGAATTAACTATATTATTAAAATCAGGAAATTGACATTGGTGTATTCTGACGTCCCTTAGTTCTGTTTTGTCATGTGTAGATTCATTTATTCCCCATCACAATCAAGAGTCAGAAGTATGTCATTACAAATATCCCCCTCAAAAATGATTAAACCTTAATGGCTTCAGTTTAGAAAGCTGAGAAAATCATCCACATTTTCCTCTAACAATTATTTTTATTGTATTTCCCCAGTTATAATTACTGTGGACAGGGCCTCCCTGGTGGCACAGGGGTTAAAGGCCATGCTATCAAGATACTGCCAGCCACTGCAGCACGAGTTCAATCCCCAGCCGGCCAGGGAGCTGTCCACATGGCGCAGCAGACCTCTCCAGTCTCGCCCATCTGCTCCCCTCAGCAGTGTATTTTAGTAGATCTGCCTGTTCTGCTCCCCACTCTCTCTAATAAATCCTCTCACCGCCCTGCTCCCGCACCTCTGGCTTACACTCCAGTTCTTGTATGCATAAATAAATCTTTAAAAATATATATAATTACTGTGGACAATTATTTTTATGTCAGTGGGCATTTTCTTCACCTTTGATTTTACAAACCCCTAAATCAGAAGGTTGGATGCTGTAGAATTGTAGCAAGGTAATACTGCAGTTGCTCCCTCAGAAAGCTGCCTTTACAGTAGACCACTGGTTAAGATTGCTACATTTAAATACTGTCCTATAAAATGCAATGATCAGAATAAACCCACCTGTTTTTGTATAACTCAAAAAATTGTTTTCTTGTGAAGTTACAATATGCTATTGAAAAGTATATGCTATATTACTCATTGGTTATTTATATTCATCCCTTCAATAGGAGTGGGAATGTCACATATTCCCCTTTCACTTGATTACATTGACACCTTCTGGCTTACCCAGTTGTCTATTTCCTCTTTTTTTCCTGTATTTCCTGCTATGAAAGGTAGCATATTGAAAACCCTGGACTTACATCTTACTCTTACATCTTAATCTTTAACAAGTTATCTACCCTTTGAGTTGATGCCTCGGTAAAATGAGCTCCTCTCTGCTGTTGTCCAAGGTAGGACAGAAGACACAACTCAGCAAACACTTTAGACAGTTGACTACAGGAAAGCAGGACAGCTCAGCAAATTATCTAGCTTAAGTGATTTAGTTTTCTTCCTAAGGGAAAGGGAAAGTTTCAGTTATTAGACACACTGGATAACTTTTTAAAGTTTATTGAGAAAAATTTAAGATTTCCAGAAAAACTGTGCACTATACATTGATTTCTTACATCTTCAAACAAAACCAAATTCCCTTAGGTATTTGAACATATTCTGTATTCAGAAAAATCTATAAAAGTGTTACTGGGAAGAAAGGTTTTCTTCTACAAACTAGGTTCAGGTGGTTGCGGGGCTGGGTGGGGGGGGCGGGTGGTGCCTGTCAATTGACAGACAGGAGCAAAGCTTATTGTACATTTATGTGGGAGGAGCATGTTCTCAGGAATAGCTCTTTGAAGAGCCTTAAGTAAGGTCTTATATACTAGCTTAATGAGATAGGGGAGGAGGGTATTAAGTCTTTATTGGGAAAGATTGAATGGTTCTGCTAGGACTTATTTACACCCTTCCTGGGATTTCCTGATGCTAAGTCAGGTTCCTTCGTTACCAAAGGATCCCGTGGAAAGGGTATTTCAAAGCAGAACTGTTTTTTTCCTACTAATATATTCTCAGTTTAAAGTCGTCTTTATGGCATGCTGGTGGGGTCAGTCCCCTCCTTTCCATTTGAAAGCTGACATGAAGCTTCAGAGACAATGAGCCTTGTCAATTGCTGTGGAGAGACGACTGGAGTTAGGTGTTGGGAGGTAAGAGATCTGTACCTGGAAACACCACCACAGATAAAAACAAGGAACAAGAAGCCAAAAAACCCAAATACAAGCACATAGCTCCAGTTTTCACTCAACCAGTCCCCCATTCCTGAAATCCAAGCAAAGCTTTTTGGTTGCTTGGCTAGTTCTCGCAAACGATTGATTTTAGCATGTACTATTCCTGACTTGTTCACATAGAGGCAGCACTGCTTGCCAACCACTGCACAGCTTCTTTGTTCAGTAGCCTGTCTCTCCAGGTAACTGGGACTTTGCAGGACTGAGTCCCAATTAACTCCTGATTGGCATGCTTCTAAAATCTGTCGGGTAGCCATCAATTCTTTTTCCATTATTTCAGAAATTCCTTGAATTGCTTTTTTTTGTTGCTCAGCTCCCAAACTTGATATAATGCTTGCTAAACTGGTCTTACGATATGTGGGTGGAATGCCTATGGCATCTCGTTGGATTCGGCTTCGTGGTGCTACTTTATGTATGAAGGAGCCCAGGTTTGTAATTTGGCTAGCATTTAAAGCAGAATACTTGGTGACAGAAGGTGCCAGGTATCCAAGTCCACATCGCCCTGCCCACTTAGGTGGGAACTCTTTATATAACTTATTGCCACACAAAATAAAAAGACCGGAGTTGTTTATAGACAAGGACAGGGTGGAACCCATGCCCCGCTGGGTTGAAGCCTGGTATCCCTCTTGACCTCTGTCATTAGCTCTATTGACAGCCACACATCTCCAGTTCCCACGTGCCTCTGTCAGACTAGAAGAGCAGAACAGGTTGCGAAATATTTGGTAGAGAATCCCTTCTGTTCGGTTTGGGCAGCTATAGAGATGGGTGTCATTACCTGACCAGGTCATTCCAGAATTTTGGTCTATCCATTTGTAGTCTTTAGTATCAGGCACATGTACCAGAGGAACAGCTGAGCTGCTCCAGGTCCCATTTGTGTGGTCTGAGAACCAGGAATACTGTCCAGTGACTAGGCAAACATTCACATTATAATAATCACTCTTAGAACGATATGACATCTATAGATGGCTTGAAGATACCTTCTGCGGAATCAAACAGTAGTGTTTGATTACAGTATTGCTCTGGTATGTTACCCAAGAAAGGTCCATTGCCATTTTTATTTTCAATGCACAGAGAAAAATTTTCCTCCAATAGTCTCACCTGAATAAAAGATAAACCTTGAAGATCCCTGGAGATTTCCCAATGCCAAGTAACACTACCAGAGGAGGAAGCAGAGTGCTCTTCATACATCCACTGTCCAGAAACGGTCCACCAGGTGCTTACACTGGCAGGGACAAAAACTACTTCAGATTCTTCTGCGTTATCTAGATGCTGACATAACCAGCAATCAGATTGATTAGTTAAGGTGGCCAGGGTTTGGAAGACTGGTTTGAGCGGGTATAGGGGTTGTGCTAGAACTGCTGAAAAAGCAGTAAGGATCAGTTGAAGAAAGACACAGTTTGAAAGGGGGCCCATCGTAGAGGAACAGGGAGAACAGATTAAGATAAGCAACCACCAGCCAATCTTTCTGTAAACGAAAGGAGAAAGGGTTTCCTTTAAATTTCTGCCAGAGAATTTTCCTGATCAGTGGGAGGAGAGGTTTGAAGGGAAGAATGGAGAGGAAATTCTTGATCCGTGATCTTGGGTAAAGCTGTCTACTTCATGGCGTCGTCTGCTTCGGGAGCATGAGCAGGCTCTGGAAATCCTCACAGGGATGGCCTTCTAATTGTCATGGGACAACAATCTGTAGCCAGCTCGGTGTGTTACATATATCCAGGATTTATTTCAACAATATAGATGATTACTGCTGGTATTTCCTAGGGCCTCTTCAAATGAGGTGATAATATATGTTTTCTTCTAAAAGCTTTGGTGTTTACTCCAGCTCCTGGCAGAAAGGGATAACATAACCTGTCAGGGAAAACCATGCTTTATTCACATATTGACAACAGACTCCAAGCACATTAATTCTGCATACAACTAGTCCTATGTTGAATCGTCCACTTAAGTCCCCACAACACTCACCCAATCCAAGCATGGAAGTTGTAACAATACCCATGCCTACTGGGGGTGAAAATGACTTTAAATGGGGTCAGTTGGGCATAGCGTTAGTCTGTGGACCCTAGGATAGTGCTGCTGGTCATTTAACACTAGTTTCTAGGCAGATTTGCCCTAGTTTGTTTTTTTTTTCTTTTTTTTTAATTTATTTTTGTATATAAGAGTTGGAGTATAGGCCAGAGGTGCGGAGGTTGAAAGGATTCACCAGAGACAGAGTGGAGAGCAGAACAGGAGGACTGAATGAAATACACTGCTGAGGGGAGCAGTGGGCAAGACATGAGAGGTCCGCTGAACCATATGTGGATTAGCTCCCTGGCTGAGGGATCGAACTCAGGCCAATTGCAGCAACAGCACTGAGATTTAACCCCTTGGCCACCCAGAGTTCTTTTAATGTCTAGATTTTTATGTTTTACTTGCCCTAACGATTGGGATAAACAAGTAAATATCCCAGAGTCTTTATTAGCAGGTGATTTATTCTTTTTTAAAAAAAGATTTATTTATTTATGCATACAAGAACTGGGGTACAGGCCAGAGGTGCGGGGTGGGGCGGTGAGAGTATATTCACCAGAGACAGAGTGGGGAACAGAACAGGCAAATTGACCCAAGTACTGCTGAGGGGAGCAGCAGGTAGGTCTGCTACACCCTGTGGGTTGCTCCCTGGCCAGCCAGGGATTGAACCTGTGCTGCAGAGGCTGCAGACAGCTTCACAGGTTGCGGCTTAACCCTTTGCACCACCAGGTTTTATTCTTTAGAATTCTCATGCCTGATTTATTCCTAAGAATGCTCCCGCAAATAAAATTACAAAAGAAAATAAGGATGTACATTCTCTAAAATCTGGATGAGGAAGAGTTTTCTAAATAAAAAATATGAAAGTCAAAGAAAAAGATGAAATACTTGAGATTAAAATATTTGAAATTTGGTGAGTCAAAAACAATAAAACTGGACTATATAATTAAAAAAAAAATCCAAGCAAGAAACAATCCGTTAATTTACAACTGTCGTACAGCAACATATCCTGTTGAACAGTGCTAGCATTGTCTAGCTACTAAACGTGCCAACAATAACCAGAAGGTGGGCCTCGCTGGTGGCTCAAGGAGTTAAGACACAACCTATGAAGCTGTCCGCAGCCACTGCAGAAGAAGTTCGATCCCTGGCCAGGGAGCTACCCACATGGCACAGCAGACCTCTCGTCTCGCCCACTGCTCCCCTCAGCAGTGTATTTCAGTCAGTCTGCCTGTTCTGTTCCCCACTCTGTCTCTGGTGAATACTCTCACCTCCATATCTCTGGCCTGTATCCCAGTTCTTGCATGCACAAATAAATATATCTTTAAAAACAAAACCAGAATGTGAAGAGACAAAGGACGTTAGTCTACAATGTGGGTCTGAGAACTCCCTGGGATATACTGGTCACCTCTAGAAACCTGGTGATTTACAGGCAGTGCACTGGGAAGTAATTCGGTCAGAAATGTTGTGGCTCTCAGGGCAGAGCCAACTGTGCTTTAGCACCCCATCATTCCATTTGCACACATGTCCCATCTGATGGGGGTTTGTACAAATCCAAAAGGTCAAAGGATGGGGGCTACCAAAATTTCAGCTGGTCCAAGGTATAATATATCTGACATACAGTGTCCTTTTAGTTACTTCCTTTTAGGTTGCGGGGCATTAATCTAATAGCTAGTAATATTGTTAGGGGGGAAAGATGTCCTGAGCTAATTCCATACAGGCTTTGCCATTTGGGATTCCAGATCAGCAGATCGGGTAGGACGCATTTAAGACTTTATCTCCCACTTTTCTCCCTGAGCTGTACATTTCCTCATTTGCCCTTCCCTCGTAAATAAACCTCTTATTAACCTTTTTTTGTGTGCCTGCAGTAGAGTATTAATAAGTCCCTTAAAGCATGCGGGTGAGGACCCACAGTTAGGCACCCCGTTTTGTATCGGGGCTGCCCTGTAACATTATCAGTCAGGGATAAAGGTGGGGGGGAAAGCTGGGTAGAGAACAGATGGGGCATGTGTGTACAGGGTGTGTTCATCAGCAGCCACCCTCAGTAGCTTTGTTAGTCTTATCATTTCCTATAGATGTTGTATCAAGTTTCCTTGGTATGTGTTGGGCAGTGAACAATAGCAATTGCAGTAAGATAAGCAGCCAAGGAGAGGGAAGCAATTCCTTGCTGTAGGGTAAAGAAAATATCAGGCTTTTCTGCCCTTCCGCCATCAGGCTAGATGATGGATCCTTGTCCTGAATGCATGCCTGATGGCGGGCACCTGGAATAGGGTGGGCATAGGTAGATGGGATTCAGCTGAGCTAAGACTGTGCTTTTAAAGGGCGGCGTCATGGGGACGCCAGTAGCAGCAGTAGAAGCCGAAGCCGAAGCCGAAAGAGAAGCCGAGAAGCAGCAGAACGAACGCCAGACAGCCCAGATAGAGTGAAGACTTGCTGGGGGCTGGGAGGCCTACCAGCCTCCCACCCCCCAGCCAGCACCCCTGCCTGCCATATGCCTGGTGAACCCCAATAAAAGACCTGCAAAAACCCACTAAGGACTCTGACTCCTCCTTTACCCGGTCTGCATGGGATCAGAAAACCTGCACTGTGTCCATTCCTGGCCCTTACACTTGCCCACTGGTAGGAGGCCCTGCAGAGGTCAAGTATCTGTGGCCCTTCCAAAGTGTGCCAACAGCATGACAGGTTTAGCTACACTGTACACGGTATACATTCTCTTGTGCCAATGTATACGTTCTAGTAAGAGCTATGAGCTTGGCAGCTGAGCTGATTTTATGGTGGACAAACTATGGTTAGTCAGTTCCCGTAAAAATTTCATTTACAAGAGCCATCACAGATCAGAACAAGCCTGGACTTCTTATCTTCCCGTGTTTTAAAACCATCTCTACGGTTCTAAGGCAATCCTATGGAAGGAGGTTTCATTTTTTCCTCATTAGGGAAGGTAATAGTGTAGCTGAATTTGGAGTATTACAGGTACAGATGATGGAGAGATTAATTAACAAGGCCTGTTCACAGGTGGTATGCTTTAAGTAGAAAAGTGCTGTTTAAGGGCCTGTAAGTGCTAACACATCAGGGGAAACCTGTGTAAGGGTACTACCGGCTTTGTCAAAGGATGGCAGCTGTGGTTACTGCACCTAGGCATAGGACATGCCTGATGCCAGTGTCTAACTGACATAAGGAATATTCTATGGGATGCATCTGAAATCAAGGTTTGTTCTAGAATACTGCAGTTATCCCACTGTCCTCATGGCAATATTGGCATAAAGGTTTGCTCAAACCGGCAAATCTCGGGGCTAGGTGTGGACAACGCTAATTTCAGCGCTTCAAAAGGCAGCCAAGACCCCAGTGAAGGGTTGTGTGATTATGTCGGAGAGCAGGCTGCAAATGGTCTGGCAGGGACAGCAAAAGCCAGCACCCTGTCTTTGGGAGAGGGATGGAAAAAACTGATTCAAGGTGTTTTGGGGGTAGTTCCTGAGTACCCCAATAGAAATCACGGTGGAGTAGGTAACCAGTTTCTACGCAGGCAAGTCTGGCTTTTCAGGCTTTATGATCTTTGCCTTAGTCTTTATGCCATGTGAGGGCTGCTCTGTCCTGCAACGATTCACTTTATCTGAATCTACCATCAATGCAAAGGTTAAGTCTGAATTCACCACTCATGCTCTGAGCTGTGCGAAAATGATACAAAAGTGCTTAAACTGAAAAGAAAATTTTCCCGTTTCAGCTGTGACTCCAGACAGGATCCAGAGAGGAGTTTTATAAGCCCCTCTATGGGTTTTTTGGAGACTTACTTTACCCTCCTGTGTTAGCCTCTTAAAGCACTGCATCAACCTTAAAAGGTCACAGGAAAAGGCAATCGGGGTTCATATATACAAAAATATAGAATACATAAACTTCTTTAGTTCTTGCACGCCTCTCTCGTTAACTTCCACAGATTTCAGAAAGTTTTTTTTTTAAAGTTGGAAAATCCACTATTATAAAACTTTTCTACCGGGAGAAGCTTCATCATCAACCCCTCCCCGCCCCCCCCCACCCCCACCCCCCCCCCCCCCCCCCCGGCGCCCACCGGGCGCCATCGACCGCGCGCACAGGACGGCGGCTCCTTCATGCTCACTCCAGGACAGGGACATACCTGCGCTCAGAGCCAGGACGCAGAACCCGCGCAGACGCCACTGACAGGCTCCCCGGGCCTACGGCGAGTCTGGGTCCCGAACACGCCACAGGTGGCCGCGGCTGTGCGGGGAAAACTGGGCGCAAACCCGTGAGCATCTCTCCGGCCGCCCGCGGGCCAGCGCAGAGAGGGCGCGCGGCTCCAGCGCCGCACATGGCCCCGGGCCGCGCACCCCCGCCCGCCCCCGCCCGCCGCTGGACCCCTAGATTTTGGCCGCCCGGAGCAGCGGAGCTCTGGGCGGCAAACTCAAGGGCACGGGAGGTGGACCCCAACTCAACCTGGACCGCACAGTCGGCCAGGCGCCCCCCTCGGCTGGACACCCGGGCGCGCGCACCGCCCCCCCTCCGCGGGACCCAAGTCTGCGGCCCGGCGGGAAGCGGGTAACCCTAGAGGGCAGGGCCGGGCGGGGCAGGGGGATGGCGAGGAGGCAGGCAGCCAGACTCCGGGCAGGGGGGCGGGGGAAGGCGGGGCGGGAGGAGGACCACCCTCCAGAGGGCCGGTCCCCGGGAAGGTTGAGGCCCGCCTTTGATACCCAGGTACCTCTCGGTGCTGCTGCCTTTTAGTGTGGCGGGAGGGCCACGCGGAGAATCCATGTTGGCGCCTCTGCTGGCCAGGGCAGGTGAATATCGTGCCTCTCTGGCACCATCCATATCGTGAATCTGGTACAGGGCAACCCCGATACAAAACGGCGTGCCTGACTGTGGGTCCTCACCTGCGCGTAAAAGGACTTTTAATACTCTCCTGCAGGCACACACAAAAGGTTAATAAAAGGTTTATGTACAAGGGAAGGGGAAACGAGGAAATGTACAACTCAGGGATCTAGTTCTCTTGGTTCGAGATTTCTTCCATCCGGACCCCATTCAGCGTCCTGTTCATGACCGGCACACAGCCTGCTATTGACAGAATCCTGAACTGTTCTCCCTTCACCGCATTTCCATTCATTTTGAGTGACTACTATGTGTCACGTGCTCTTTTAATACTTAAACGGAACAGAGGCCTGGGGCTGACATTCCAATGGAAAACAAACAAACAAAAAATCAAGATGTAAACATAAAAGATGATGTGGGGGAGGCCTCCCTGGTGGCACAGGGTTAAAGGCTCAGCGCTATCAAGCTGTAGCCAGCCGCTGTGACATGAGTTCAATCCCCAGCCAGGGAGCTGACCCACATGGCTCAGTAGACCTCCTGTCTCACCCGCTGCTCCCCTCAGCAGTGTATCTTAGTAGAGCCACCTGTTCTGCTCCCCACTTTGTCTCTGGGGAATCCTCTCACCCTGCCCCCACACCTCTGGCCTACAGCCCAGTTCTTGTGTGCATAAATAAATAAAAATAGAAAAATGATGTAAAAATATATAAAAGAAAATAAAAATAGAAAAATAAATAAATAAAAATAAATCTTTAAAAGAACGACTTAGGATGATAAATGCTCATGAACAAGCATTTATTACAAGTTGAAGTACTAAATAGCAAACAGTTATTCCTGTGAACCAATGTCCCTCTTTCCACTAAGAAACACAGAAACAAAACTCATTATGACTAGTGTTACTGGGCTGTTTTGGAAAATATATTTCACTGTAGAAATGACTAAATCTGATGAATGACTCTTTTCCAGGAGTGATGGCTGGTTGGCCCCCTGCATTCCTGTGTAGGGCCCTACTTGTTTCATATTTGATGGCGCAGAGGAGACAAAGATGGACAAACACCATCACCCCCATGCAGGACACCCGGTCCGCAGTCCTGGTGGCTGGCACTAGTGAGAGGATCATCATGTAGAAATCTCACTGCTGTGGGCATGGGACAGTGATCGTCACACACTTCAGCTCCTCAGTGCTCCTCTCTTTTGACTCTGAGTGGCCCCCTAGCCTGCCCCATTATTCCTGTGCTGCGTGCTAGAGACCTTTCCCCTCTGCGGTTCCAGACTCCCTGGCCTCCATAGCCCTCCCCAGGGACATTATTTTATTTTATTTTATTTTATTTTATTTTATTTTATTTTATTTTATTTTATTCTATTCTATTCTATTATTTTATTTTATTTTATTATTTTATTTTATTTTTTGTCTCTTGACTGACTTCCTCTCTCTATTGTTTGCTCTTCTTTTGTCTGGCTCAAGATACGGTTTTTTTTTTTTTTTTTTTTTTTTTTATCAAGCTCTTGAGAGCTTTTCTTCTGTTTGACCAAAATGCTTTTGTCTTTGATCGTGGATTATGACATCAGAAGGATGATGGCTTATGAGAACTTAGGTTTTATTTTTTTTATTTATTTTTTTTTTGAGTATGTATATTCTTTTTTTTTTTTTATTAGATAATAAATTTTATTGTTATATTCCCCATACAATTGCAGCGCCCCCATTCTGACTCCAATCCCTCCCCTCCCGCCCCTGCCCCCCTAAAAGTGTCTCTGGTTCATAGTTTTTTGTTGATTTTGATTTTCATTTTCTTATAGTTATTCATTTTCCTGGTCCCTTATTTAAGTTTTCTAGATTCCTGCTATGAGTGAGACCATCCGGTATTTTTCTTTTTCTTTTTGGCTTATTTCGCTGAGCATGATCCCTTCCAGCGCCATCCATGTTGCTGCAAATTGCATGTGTTTATCTTTTTTGAATGCTGAGTAATATTCCATGGTATATATGTACCACATCTTCTTGATCCAGTCATCTATTTTTGGGCATTTGGGTTGTTTCCAAAGCTTAGCTATTGTAAACAGTGCTGCTATAAACATAGGGGTGCAGGTGTTCTTTGGAATTGATGTTTCTGTGTCCTTTGGGTAAATACCTAGGAGTGGAATTGCTGGATCATATGGAAGCTCTATGTTTAGTAGGTCCAGAAATCTCCACACAGCTTTCCACAGTGGTTGGACCAGTTTGCACTCCCACCAACAGTGCAGAAGAGTTCCTTTTTCTCCACACCCTCGCCAACATTTGTTGTTGCTAGTTTTTTTAATATGTGCCATTCTCACTGGTGTAAGATGGTATCTCATGGTAGTTTTGATTTGCATTTCCCTGATGACAAGTGATGTTGAACATTTTTTCATATGCCTGTTGGCCATTTGCATTTCCTCTTCAGAGAAGTTTCTTTTTAGCTCTTCTGCCCATTTTTTGACTGGATTATTTTCTTTGTTGTTGTTGAGTCTCATCAGCTCTTTGCAGATTTTTGTGATCAGTCCTTTATCATTAGTGTTGGGCGCAAAAATGTTCTCCCAGTTGGTGGGGTTTCTCTTTGTTTTTGTTATTGTCTCTTTTGCTGTGCAGAAGCTCTTTAATTTGATGTAGTCCCAGCTGTTTATCTTCGCCTTCACTATCACTGCTTTGGGTGATGTGTCTGTAAAGATGTCTTTGATGTGCAAATCACGTAGTGTTTCGCCTATATTTCCTTCTATATATTTTATGGTTTCAGGTCTTATGTCTAATTCTTTAATCCATTTTGAGTTGATTTTTGTGTATGGTGTGAGGTAGTGGTCAAGCTTCATTCTTTTGCATGTAGCGACCCAGTTTTCCCAGCACCATTTATTGAACAAACTTTCTTTGCTCCAATGCATAGTCTTTGCTCCTTTGTCAAAGATTAGTTGACCATAAATCTGTGGGTTTATTTCTGGATTTTCTATTCGATTCCATTGGTCTGTATGTCTGTTCTTGTTCCTATACCATGCAGTTTTGATGATTATGGCTTTGTAGTATAGTTTGAAGTCTGGGAGTGTGATGCCTCCATTCCCTTCTTTTTTTTTCAGGAGAGCTTTGGCTATTCGGGGTTTTTTGTGATTCCATATGAATTTCATCAATAATTGTTCTATTTCTTTGAAGAATGACATTGAAATTTTGATTGGAATAGCATTGAATCTGTATATTGCTTTTGGAAGGATGGCCATTTTAATAATGTTTATTCTTCCAATCCATGAGCAGGGGATATCTCTCCATTTCTTTGTGTCTTCTTCTATTTCTTTTAACAGTGTTTTATAGTTTTCTTTGTATAGGTCCTTTACCTCTTTTGTTAGATTTATTCCCAAATATTTGATTTTTTTTGTTTCAATAACGAAAGGGATGGTTTTTTTGATTTCTTCTTCTTCAGATTTATTGTTTGTGTATAGGAAGGCTACTGACTTTTGCGTGTTGATTTTGTATCCTGCCACTTTACTGAACTGATTGATGAGTTGAATTAGCTTTTCTGTGGAGTTTTTGGGGTTCTCTATGTATAATATCATATCGTCTGCAAATAGTGATAGTTTGACTTCTTCTTTTCCTATTTGGGTTCCTTGGATGTCTTTCTCTTGTCTTATTGCCCTGGCTAGGACTTCCAGTATTATATTGAAAAGCAGTGGTGAGAGTGGACATCCTTGTCTTGTTCCAGATCTTAATGGAATTGCTTTCAGCTTTTCACCATTGAGAATGATACTGGCTGTTGGCTTGTCATAGATGGCCTTTATGATGTTAAGGTATGTTCCTTGTATCCCAAGAATTTCAAGGGCTTTTATCATGAATGGGTGTTGCACTTTGTCGAAAGCTTTCTCAGCATCTATTGATATTATCATATGGTTTTTATATTTCTTTTTGTTGATGTGTTGGATAACGTTGATTGATTTTCGGATGTTAAACCATCCTTGTGTCCCTGGAATGAATCCTACTTGGTCGTGGTGAATTATCTTATGGATACATTGTTGGATTCTGATGGCTAAAATTTTATTGAGGATTTTTGCATCAGTGTTCATTAGGGAGATTGGCCTGTAGTTTTCCTTTTTTGTGTTGTCTCAAGATACGGTTTTAACTGCAACTTACACAGTGTTTGCTAACGTTGACTCACCCTCTCATTTCTGTGTTTATTTCATCGATTTCTCTTCTCCCCCTTTAAATTTACATTTCATTTTCCCCAAGCTAATTTTACGCAGTAAGATAGGTATGTTTTCCCAAATACAATTGAGTAAGGCCAGGGGTGAAGGGAATGATGATTGTGAAATCAAGTACAAAGAGGCAAATTTTCTGCTCAATCTTTGGGAGCCATGGCCTCATGCTGGGAGGGGAACCGTCAGTGCTGAGAAGCTTCCATGTGCCCCGCACTGTGGGAGACCTGATGGTCATTAGATTGTGTGGGGTGGGGGGAACCAAACATAAAACTTA